CTAGGGGCTCCTGGCCTTACTACTAGGAGCCAGGACGCTACTAGGGGTTCGTGGCCTTACTACTAGGAGAGCGATCGGACGCGACTCGAACCGTAGCAAGAAGCTACTTGCATTGTGGTGGTTGCCGGCCACAAAACATGGCACCCAAGTCCATCAAAGGTGATCAAAACATCGTCACCGCCAGAGACACCACCAAAGGGACCGCTTTTTTTGGTCCCATCACCCAGCCACACTCCATGGGACTGGGAATTTCTGTGCCAATCAGTTGGGTTGGTGGAAAAGGGGTTGGACTGGGGATCTATGTACACACACGGAGTGTTTTAGGATGTTTTAGGTGTTTAGGTGTCTTTGTTTCCGAGGCCAAGTCTTTGTGCGGAGCGGGTGGCTCTGCTTGGTCATGGACTTCGCCGATGGCGGCGACCTGTGCTGCGCCGTGAAGGAGCGCGCCAAGAGCGGAGAACTCTTCGAGGAATCAGCGGCTGCCTGGACGAAGGGCACCGGTCCGTGGGTTTGACCCAGGAAAAGCGGAATGCCTTCAACACCTGCAGGTTCACAACTACTAAACATTTTCGGTATACCTCAGATTTTCCTTTGCTGAACTTCAAAAGCTACAAAAGCTTGGGTCCGGAAAAATTGGGGATACCCCACACACATCCGTCCCAGGTGGAAGTTCAGTTAACCTTCATTGCAGGGAAGCTGGGGTCAGTTGGAGGAGCTGAGCCACAAAGGAGAGGAGCCAGGGGGCCCACACGAAACCGGCCGCGGTCTTCAGGTTCCAAAAGCATGACAGGTCGTTCAACTTGTGAGGCGTTTTTGCGACCCTTTAAAAGGGAAGATGAATCCCGAGTTTGGTGAAGATGTCTTAATGATGATGAATCCAAACATGTTTCATGTGCATGTGTTTTGCGTTGCCTCACTGGCTGATCCGTGAGGTCTTGGAGTGCTTCTCGCAGGCGGAGTGGTGGAGTGTGTTGAACAAAGAAACACATTCTGCAGGTGTCGGTGTCAGATGGCCAACATTTATAAGAATCATTAGACATAGAGGCAGTCTCCTCGCTTGGTGTCGATTCTTCGCAAACCTGAAGCCAGAACGGGTTCAAGCTTCCATGGATTCCAGCCACTGTTGGATGCGATGGTCCCCCACGTTTGACCAACTTGATTTGATTGACTTGTGTTGGGAACAAACACTGGGAACTTTCACAGGCAAAAGCCACTGAGCACTCGGAGCATCGATCACCAGTTGCAGAGGTGGCGGATGCAGTGCGGTATGTGCACGCAAAGAAGATGGTCCATCGTGAGACTCGGTCTTGGAAGGCCTGTCTTTGATAGGGTTCTGCAGATGGTTTCGGTGTAATGGTATGTATAACCATCTTCATCTTCAAAAAAAGTCAAACACCATTTGCTATGGTCAAACAAGCTGCCACCACCAGGGTTTGCCTTCTAAATGATTCTAAACTTTGCTGCATTTTTACATTGAACGTGTGTCTTGATCATCGATGCCTGTTTAGGAGCCTTTAGTGATCGGAGAATTCAGGACTGATCTCCAGCAAATGTTCATGATGTCACGATGTTTGCCATGTTTCATCATGTTTCCTAGTGGCAGGAGAGCACAGATGTCAGAAACTAACTACATGTTACTAGCCCTAGGGCCCATAGGGCTGGAGCCCTACATCCTCAGGTACCGAGTCCCTCACCCACCCCCCGAAATAGATAGAAGTTCGTAGATGCCCACTAAACACGTATTGGAAACCGTGCCACTCTCCCTTTGGGGATCACTAAAGGACTTAGTTCAAGATTCTTAGGATTGATCCTCAGTCTTTGCAGTTTTTGGACCGCTCAGGGCGGTTCTGGAAAAGGTCAGATGTAGCGTTCCACCCGCGCTCTTAGAGGGCCCTTAGTGGTGAAGTGTCTACCTGGAGTCTCAGTTCGTACCTCGGAAAATGGGCAAGATGTATTATAAAGTAACTTGTTATACCCAAACACTCCATGGGACTGGCCCAAAAGAGCCTATACATTGGGACTGGTTGACAAGGGGACAAGGATGTTGGCATCTATGTCAGTCCCATTCGTCACGTCTGGGTTCATGTGAGTCAGGGTCGGCCGTCGGTTTTCGTGTTTGATTCACCAGGCCACGTGCGCGGAGAGCGTTCGGAGATGTGTTGTTCGGAGATCTGTTGTACTCACAGAATCTCTCAGTTATTTGTGTTGCTGTTGTACGACATGTGTGGCGTATGTGATGAGAGTTGTTGAGGAGACGTATACCAGGAGTCACAAAGGGGTGGTGTTTAGTCCCTAAGTGAGTGGATAATGGGCACCCCTAACCGTAACCTCCATTAAGCACCCCTTTGTGACTGCTGGTAGTGGTATTTACAGCATGTTGCCCATCTTTGGGCCATGTTGGACGCATCGAAGACATGAATGTACAACACACATCGGCGGGTTTATGGGGGATATTAACGTTGATGTCGACTACTCCGAAGGAGGATCCTTCTATGCTTCGTCGCATGAACGTGGGGTGTGAAGGCCCTTTAGATGTGAGGAAGTATCATCCAGGAGATCCCAAGACGGGGTGCCCATTGAAGGTTAGGGGTGCCCCTGTCACATCCACTCACTGGATGGGACCAAACACCACCCCTTTGTGATCCCTGGATCATGTTAATTAACGTCATGTACGTCCATGTTGAGTGCTTTGAAGGAGGACGTGCTTTCGGTCGGGTCAACGTTGATGTGGTTGCATGGACATGCACAATTTGACCATGCGGTATGTCGACTGGGCCTCTGCTTTATATGAAGTATGAGCTAGCATGACAATGCCACGGTTCATGCAGGAAGCTTCACGTCGCCATATGCCAAGGAAGCTCCACATCGCTCCATGCACCGCCCGCCGCCGAAGTCCTGCACCGAGGACATCAAGTCACGGAACGTCTTTCTGTGCCGCACAGGCCAAGCGTGTCTCAGCGGCAGGTCACGGCGTTCCCGTCGTTTCGATCGCCACGGCCACGGTGCGGGTCCGCCGGAAGGTGCGGGAACAGATTGGAATTGAGGTAGAGTGTGCCTATAGGTCTTGGGTGGGCATGACATCTCCATCAAAAGTATGCAAAGAACACTCAAAACATCTCAACATGGCAAGATGTGAGCTCATGAGTATTATAGATGGTTTCATCCTGGACATCATCAACAAATCCTTTCGTTCCACCGGGTGCTTATGTTTGCCTCAGCTCGTGGATTCCCCCGTTCTCGACCGAGCTCTCCGTCGACCGACGCACCAGGTTGCTGGGCGACTTTGGACTGGTGCGATTGCTGGAAAGTACCCTGGAGCTCGCGCACACGCGCGTGGGGACGCCTTACTATCTGAGCCCGGCTGCTGGGGCTGGAAAGGCTGGAAAGTCCGGACGGATCAGGTTTTGGCCAGGGGTGGGGTCACCATGATCAGATTGGTTTCAATGTTTCAACAGGTGTTCTTACATGTTTCTGGTCTAGATTCTTGGATAGTCTTGGAATAGTTATGAATAGTAGCTGGTATATATTCTACAGTAGGGGTGACCAAGACTCATCATGATGCGTCCATACCTGCTACCTGAGCCTCCAGTTGTCTCACTGGCGGACCCACCTCCGGGCACTCCATGGAACGTCGGACGGGTTCTGCGAAACGGCGGTGCGGTGCGATGCGAAACGGCGGTGCCAAGGAGATCATCCGGAAACAACCCTACAACTACAAGACCGACGTTTGGAGTCTCTCGGATAAAGGAAAAGTCCATCTGGCCTGAGATGATGATGGGGGGGGCTGGTAGACATGGACACCCTGAAGCACCTCTTTCGACAGGGGTGTTCTTATGGACACATTGTGTATCACTGTGTGTTGTTTTGGAGTTGGACGTTTTTGGAAGGTGTGTTTTTGTTCAGGTTCTTGCTATGGTTTGCCATTGTTCAAGTATCCCACCTGATCGATCCTGATGTGTTTCTGGTAATTTCTTGCTTTGTGAAGCCATGATCAAAACTGCCAAGAACTGCCCAAAACCTTCCATCTGACCCCGAACCCAGAACACTGGGACCCTGAACAAAAAAAGCACACCAGCCGGCACCACCCTCTTTGTCTTTTCTTCGCGCAGAAGCCGAGGCTTGGGTGTCTTGTTATACGAGATGGCCCATCTCCGGCGTCCCTTTGTAGGGACCCTGGTGCCCCGGTGTTCAACTGGAAAGCCCGGTGGGCTGCGAGGCGGACACGGAAAGCCCCGGAAAGCCCGGGGTGCTCGTTGGAAGGTGACAAGATGGATGGACGATGCACAGAGACAAGAGCCACTACTTCACTACTACTATAGTGTGTTTTCGAGACAGGAGGGTGTCACATCCAATATACCTCAAAACCAGCTAAAAGCACAGCAAAGCATGAGCTCATCCAGCTCACATGCATTTAATTATGATCATTCTGCGCATCTGGTGTTCTACGAAGGGCACTCAGCCTCTCACGGAAGGGCACCGCTCGCCAAGGAGACGCTGCCGAAGATCATCATCTCAGGCGACGTATGGGAAGCATCTACCAAACGCGGCGATCGAAACGCAACACACTATAGAAGTCATTTGATATCAGACCATTTCTTTTGTAATGCCAACACCGGAAACGGCACCCCCTTTCAAGGTCAACAAGGTCTGAGATTGGAGGGAATTGGAGACCACATTCCCCTAATAAAGGTGATGACCTGATGATGGATGAGGGTTGATATGATTCTGTGTGAACACTGAGGCCTGTGAGAGGGGTACCCTTTGTGAGCTAGAAAACGTTAAGATGTTGATAGAGTTTTAATAAGGAAAAATGAACGATTTTTGCTAGAGAGGTTTTTAGGGACCAGAAGATATTGGATACTAGCCAAAAATATAGTAAATGATTAAGAAGTATAGATATATAATATAGTAAACTAGTTCTTCTTAGGGGGGGCAGCTGGGATTGATTAATAATGATTAATAGGGGGAGGTTTCTGGTAGAGAAAACAAATTAGGGTGATGTTCATGTGGAATTCAGGTCTTTAAATGAGTTTTGTATTGGGGGGCTCGAATTGAGTAATAGGGGTGGTTACTGAAATCCTGTGTGCGCATTATCCGCTCATTGATCCTCCGACTGCACTACATGTTTGAGTCAAAAAAGACTAGTTGTGGGTCAAGACATGTCAAGACCCTAGCTATGAGGCTGCAATGAGCCTTTGGGATGTTTTTGCTTCATCCATAAAGCCATATAAAGCCGTAATATGCTGACATATATAATAAAGCCTGCCTCTTTTTTATGGCCATGTGGCACATGTTGTTTGTTTTTTTTGTTGTAATGGACGTGTGTCCCATTCCCACTTTTTGAGTCAAAAACATCGCAAAAGTTGGCCACCATCATCAACTAGTGGATATACCAAAGACATACTAAGACCTCTATAAAGTCTGTATACTACGTAGTGTATGTATACACATGTATACACGTTTAACCAAGGTGCCAGTTCACCAACAAGTTTAAGTCTTTACAGTAAGCCTACAGGTGCTCTCGTGCGTCGGATCCTGTGCGTACTGACCTTTGCAACCCCAAACGCCTGGGTCACACGTCGCGTGGTCACCGCCCGCGCCGCTGGCGAGTCTTCGAGGTGAATACGAGCCTTTGAGCAGCGTGTTCTCTGCAGAGCTACATCAACTGGTCGCACGAATGCTGGCAGTCGATCCCCATCAGCGACTCAATCTGGCAGATGCCTTGCAGGAAGAGGTGCGTCTTTTGGGGAGCGGAGCGAGAAGGAGCTGCCAAAAGGTGGTTGAAACGGCCAACAGGAGGATATTCAAAGAATTTCACAAATAAATTTCATTGTGCTGAGGTGTGCTGTGTTTTCTGCAGATGTTGAGATTTGCGAGCAAGAAAATTACGTCCTGATCTCGTTTCTTTATGATCAACGTAGAGACAGTCACCGCTTTTGACATACAAAATGTTCCCAGCCTGGAGAAACTCAACTATCTTCCCAATGTCAGCCCGCCCCCCCTTCCAAGGAAACTATGCCAAAACTACCTCTCTTCAGACTCATCCTATCATCACCGAATTGGTCTCGTTCAAGCTCTAAAGAACTCCAAAACCAACGGTTCCGCTCACTTCAGAACCCTTCACCCACACTATAGATTAACAGCGCCCCTTAGTAGACCACCCCACCCCCACCGCGAACGCGTTCGCACGGTGCTTCACACGGAGCGCGGTTTCGCGGGTTGCCGCACGTCGCGGAGGTGCTGGCGGCGCCACTCCGCCGCTCGCGCGAGGCGCTGCAGCTGGGCTTTCCGCCCGACGAGACGCCCGAGCCGCCGCCGATACCGGTGAGGAAGGAGATCCAGGCGAAGACGGACCGAGATGGTGTGAGTTGGTGTTCGTTTGTGTCCTTGTCGTGCCGCTCGTTGGGTGATCGTGCTCTTTTTCACCGGTGAGGGTCCTAAAGGATCTAGAAATACCGCAATAGATCGCAATAGACTGAAGAATTCCTTTAAGTTCTTTTTGGGGGGATCTCTTTTTTTTTGCTGTCCTTCAAGCTGTTGTTTGGTGAGCTTATTTTTCTGAAACGACTGTTTTTTTTCAGGGGACACTGAGTTGCTCGGGCCCAGCGGTCTCCCGATTTGCTGCCAGGAACTGGATTCCGAATGGATTGGTTTTAACACCATGAGCCTCGGCCGCAAGAAACGGATCCCCACGACTGGAGGCAGAAAATGCATCGGATGTAGGGCCTATTAATTATTATAGAGAAGTTGATCAGCCCAGCTCTCTTAGTCTTAGGCTATATCTATATCTATATATATTATATGATATGATTCAGTTTTGCTGAAATTCTATCAGCTTGTTAAGTTTGCTGAGTTGTAAGGACAAACATGCTATTGTCGTGTTTTGCTATGGTTTTGCTCTTCAGCGAACCCAAGCTCGTTGAAAGCAGAACGGACGTGTTTTGAACCTGACACCCACCGAGCAAGCCCAAACGAAGCGACCGCGACCGGGCCTCGGCCGCACAGGATCCGGCGAAAGGAGGACGGATTGATCCTCCCGGAGGCCAAGGAGCGGAGCCGAGCGGAGTGGGAGCCATCACTCCGGTGGGTGGGAGGAATAAGGAGTGAAGGGTGGGTGGCAGGTATTACTGCTGTGGGTCGTAGATCCCGGGGGACCCTGCTCTTTTTTTCCCACCCAAGAAATAAACAGAATAGATTGCAAGATATGGTCAACCTACCAGTCATAGGCTGGGGGTGTCCTGGTACCTGTAAACTGTCAGTAAACAAGAACATCACCGTTTGTCCCAGAAAGGCGTGCAACCTAAGCATCATCATCGGTAAGAGGCCAAAGTCATAGGCCAAGGATATACCCGAGTCATATTCATAGGGCCTGGGGCGGAACATGATGGAACATGATCAAACTGGGCACCTGGGCACCATGGAACTGCTGGACATGGCAAGGGTGTGACCTTTGCGATGGCCACATCCCCCCCCGACAAGGAAAAAAGCACCCACCCCCGTTGCCACCTTGTTTAGAAAGGAACACAATTAAAGAGGACCAACCAGACCACCAGACCACCCGTTACCACCAACCTATGGGTCCGGTTATGTCGCTATACATCCATTCCTCGCATCTTCACCCCGCATTCTCCAGCCACTGACCAGCCGCATCCATGGAGGGCATCGTCGACCTGAGCGTGGCCAAAGCGCCGCCCCCGCGTCCGGACGAGGGTCCTGAAGAGTGGAGTCGAGCGCCTGCAGCGCCGGAACATCCCGACTCCGGCCGCTGGGAGCACCACGCACGTCTACGCGTCGAGACGTCAGTGTGGTGGGAAACAGGTGGGGAAAGGCACCGGAAGCAACTGGAAGTAAGTCTGGGCTTGTGTTCTGCATTGTATATTTTTTCAGGTGTTTTCTTGGTTTGGGAGTGGGTGGAGGTGATTTTCTCTAGGTGTTGGGAGATGTTGGGAGTGTTTGTTTTTTTGTTTTGTTTTGTGTGTGTTACATCCATTTACTGTAAACGGGGAATGATCAATCAATATAGGGTTTACAATGTCTACAACGTAGCAAGGTTTGACAGCTAGCCATTTGAAGTTGGTTGACTGAGGCTCAAAGGTTTGACCTGTACACACTGCTTTATGAATTCGCCATGCAGGATTCTATCTCTTTCTTTGTACACCTGCAAGCTCAGGAACGACTCCTTGTCGATCATTGATTTCCCACAACTTTCTCGACGGTTTTATTTGAGTCCCGCTGTGCAAAGGGCCGTTCACCATCCGACTCGAAGGATTGCCAGACTTCTTCAGGGTTGGGTAAAAAGAAACATACACTCCCTGGAAGAATCATAGAAGTGGACATCCACCTGTTTGTAGAGAATGGTCATCCTTTCGGGAGAATGCCATCCACGTAACCAGCATGGATGGATCTCCAGGGTAGACATACGACATACCAAGCCCGGATCCACTTGCCAACTGGTCACCCGTGGTTCCAGTTCGACTCCAAAACCGATCCCCCAAAACCAGTTCGGCCCCTGGTTCCACTACGTAGTGGCTTCTTCACTTTTTTCTGGGCATCTCCTCCACTCCGCTGTCCTCTCCCACCGAAGGAGAGGAATTGGGCTCCGCCTCCGACGACTCCTGGGGCTCGGTGGTAGACACCGGTACCTTGGACTGAACGAACCGGTGAGAAGAAGCGGGGGGAAGAAGAGGGAGCGGAAGTCATGACCTGGGCGGCACCCGATTTTGGGGGTGGACGTCCAGGATTTGAGTCGATGATCCGCAAAGATTCAGAATCTGAATCCACACTGAACCATGCATGTCAATGCAGATACCACGGGATGATGTTGCCCTCCATGCACCGGTGTTCTTTGTGTTAGTTTTTCTTTTTTTTTCTGAAAATGACTGAGATCCCATGGTGACCTGGGCGTTGAGGTTTTGACCCACAGCCACAATTCATTAATATAGAGTGGTTTTACTGCATTGTTCACTTGAGTTGTCAAGGAGAAGTGTAGCAGCCACCCCCAGTCCACAGTACACAAAAAAGAATCGGACATTGGAACCCTTCACACCAAAAGAATCCAAACAATACCCAGACGCTCCATGTATGCCATATATGCCTACATTGGGGTGGTTTGGGGGGTCAATGTAGGCATATATGGCATACATGGAGTGTATGGGATATATTATCAATGTGACCATTTTCGTCGACTTCTTACGTGTTCCGCCGTTCTCCGAAGGCAACGATGCCCTTCAGCAACTCATGGCGCCCGGAGCGCCGAGACCCAACGAGGACGCGCCGCGGCCGCCGCCGCTGCCTCCACCGCCACGTCCTTAGGCGGAAGGAGGCCGATCTTGGGAAGAAGAGCACAACCTGCACCATCCTGTCTCATTTTTCCTGGCTGGAGATCCCGGATAGTAGTGCGTAGTCCAGCCAGGACACCCAGACAGGATGGTGCTGAAAGGAATGGTGTATGAATATGAGTCATGTATGAGGACCGACCTAACAAAACAGAATTGAGCAGCAATCCTCCAACAGCTCACCACGTGTCACGTTCCAAGTCTCCAAAAGCCATCAGATCGAGTAGACCTGGATAGGTCCTGGTATATGGATAGGTCCAGATCAAAGTCTTTCCGGTCACAAGCTGCCGCTTGGTATGGCAAGCCGAGAGAGGGTCTTATTTTAGCCATCCTGTCGATGATTTCTGGGGCAACCCTGTGATTGTAGCCATCATGCCGCTAGCTCCAGAGTTCATCATCATCTTTTGTATCCTTTTACCGTCTCCATCCATTTCCCCGATCGATGACCGGTTCTCCTCCGTCTCCCCACGAGTCTCCTCCGGCGTGGACGCTGCAGGATCAGATGTTGGATGCGAATGCCAACAAAACGTGCGATCGCAGATGGGGATGTCAGGGAGAAGAGACTTCAAGATGGGCGTTTGTTGGAACATACCACCACCAGTAACGTCACCATGGATTTGTGTTCATCGTTTGTCTTTCTCTTCATTATTCTGAACCAGGGGATGTTCCACTTCCATGTTAGCCAGTCCTCAGTGAGTCTTTGTTGAACCCCAAAGACCTCTGAGATGCCACTGGACTGCCATCCATCTGCCCATGGAGCCACCCGACGACTCCAACGACTGGCTGCACCGGATCCCCCCCCGCAGGTCCTGAGCTCCCCACCTGCCTGGAGCCATGCGTCCTGCGCGGAGGAGGGACGACGAGGGTGAGAGACGTGAAAGTGATGGCACACATGGGGCGTACTGTGGGGCGTACTGTGGGGCTTTGGGGCTTTGGCTGGCAGTTGATCTTTTGTTGGAGTTGGTCGAGTTGGTGAACTTTTGGCTGGGAGTTGTTCTGAACTTTGGTCGAGTTGGTGAACTCATTTGTTTTTGGTATATTTCTTTTGTTTGGCCACCCCCCAAATTACACCAACCACGCCCTTTTGGGAAAAACGGTCTACGTACTGAGTACAGATTTCCGACTTGAATTCGCTCTTGCGGGGTCGGTGGAGTTCCAACCTGGTCTTCCAAAAAAAAATACATGGCCTCCCCAGAAGCTTAACCCCACAGAGTAAGGGAGTTTACCCTGCAAACAATCCCAAAGAGTTTTCCCTGCTTCGACCATACAATGAGTGGTGTTTGTTTTTCATGTGTGGTGTCCCATGTATCCATAATAGTAGGAATCCATCCTTGGATTGGGTTTAACACTTAAGATCTATGTGTTCCATCCATCAGCGTGGCTAAACTCCGCCTGGCTAAAAGCCTTCACCGTCTGTGTCAGGACTGCTTGGTGAAGCTGTTAAGCTCCAAACCCGAGAGGCCAGTCCTCGCCTCACCGGCGCGACGTGAACCCCGCAGTGCATGTGGCGCGTGACCGCCTGTGCACGCCTGCGCAGCGTGTGTTCACCGCCGCAAGCGATGCCGCCAAAGCCATCGGAGGTTGTGATGAAATCCAAAAGAAAAGCGTCACAGAACCACAGGTTTGGTCCAGATACTGATCATGTTCATGCATTTTCCCAGTCAGTTTGGCTGGTACCAGGTCACAGTGGATTAGATGGCCCGCCTGGTTTGGGGTCCAGCATGTGGCCACCACAACATGGGATCGGCAAAATGATAATTTCTTGTTTTTCCTTGGCGGAACTGGTTTATCGCAGCAGCTTTCATTGCGTGACGCAAGTATAGGTGTTGTAAGTGTCAGAATCTTGCCAGGTGGATGATCCTTCTCACCACTTTCTTTGCAATTACGCTGTTAAAACAACCTCACGACTAGTGATTTCATTTGATATCCCTGATATCCCTGTCTACATTGCCTGCTTTTTTTTCTTTGTTCCCAAGTTTGGAGTTTTGTTCGGTACGTGGGTCTCCAGAGAGAGGTCTCCAATGAGCCTGGAAATTGTGCACGAGGCTGGGCCAAGGGGGAGAGCTTGGGGTGTTTCTGTGGAAGGTTCTTGGAAGGCTTTGACAGGGAGATGTGTTTTTGGTTCAACTTGGACACAGGCAGCAGCGTGGATACATTTTTATTTGTATGTCGCACGTATGTCGCCTCCTTACCAGGCTTGAGAAAAAGATAATGTATTTTTTTTGTTATGAAGAAACCACACAAGAACAAACGTGAACAGCAAATCAGGAATAGAAACAAAGGTGGTGAAAAAAGAACACATTAAAATACACTTTCACTTGGGGATCATATCTGGTACAAAGATCAGTCTGGATGAACTGAGCTGGACAAAAACACACTAGGAAAATACACACTTGGAAAAGGAACATGAAACCACAAGACCACAAGAACCCTAGGGATCCAGTCGTACATTCTCAGAAGGCACGACTGGACCCTCTACAGCCACCCCAGTCCAACCTTTTGAGAAGGTACTTGGATCCCTAGGGAAACCGGATCTCCTCCTTGTCCAACTGTTCTTTTCCACACCCAGGAGCTGAGTGGCGAGGCGCGGCTCTTGCCGCGCTTCGCGCTGCGGGGCGCTCTGCCAGACGCGCTGCGGGGGCGCCCGGAACCGCTGAACTGTCCACTAGTGATCTACTAGTTTGGGATGCATTGGGGACCTAAAATCTATCATTTGGATGGTTCAGTTGAATTTTAGGATTATATAGATGTTTGGGACCTCTGAAGTGTTTGCCACCGGGGCGAAGGGTTAGGATGTGGTTTCTCTGTTTTGAACCTGTGGTTATCTGCAGTATACCGTGCTTTAGCAATGGTTTAGGCCAAGGCGCCATCAGATGAAGGACATTTATTTTACTTTGGTGACAAGGCTTTGCAATGACCAGTCGGTTGATTGGCAATGATTTGGCGATGCTGATAGTTGAAATGGTTGTCAAAGGTGCTGGCCGTGGATTTGAGAAATTGGACTTAACACATCAAGTTGAGAAGTGTTCAACGTTACAGTCCCAGACTAATTTAGGTACATGCGCCTTTGTAAGTGGGCCCGGAAGCCTCTGAGGCCTTCCTACCCTTCTGCCCGGATTCAATCGGGCGTTGTAGGCCTTGCCTCTAGGATATTTCGGGAGGTACACATTTTAGATGCCAGACAGTCTCTTCAGCCGTGTACTGAGTACAATGCATGCCTAAATCCAGTGGATTCCCTTGTAGAACTGGCGGCCACAGCTTCTTGCCACCCACGTTTTCACACGCCCACGTGTCGCCTTGCGTATCACGCGACTGATTTTTCCCAACCACCCCGTTGCGCTGAGGTTAGAGCTTTACGACTTCTGGCGTGGCAACGATCGTTTGGTTGGGCGACTGCAAGCAAGGCGAAGGTGGGCAGTGCTCTGGAGGGTCATGAAGGGCGAGCCGGAGACTCACCGCGTCAAGCGAAAACCGAAGTTCCAAGACGCCCGGAGACCAAAACGCAGACAGACTCCAACGCCTGCCGCGTTTGCGGTCGGGGGCGCCAGGAACGAAGGGCTGCACGCCACGTGCCTCGTGGTCCACTTGTCCGGGGGGCCGTGCGAGTGTCGAGTCGAAGCGTTGGTGGTTCAGCCGGTGTGCTCGGCTTCACTCTGCTGGATCTTCCAGAGTCTCACAAAGGGCCAAAAAGGGGAGTCGGCAGTGAAATCCATGTTCAAGAAAGCCAGGATGACTGCTATGGAAGACATGATGACAGATGCTAGAGGACTAGGTTTTAGATAGGGGTCTTGCTGGTTGGTTCAACATTGATGGCCGAAGTTCAGTCGAACCGAGCAAATTTGTATACGCAAGTACCCCCCAAAACAACATATGTTGGACTGCATACCAGATGCACATGCATCCTGATTCATGCTGCACTGAATAGATTCTTGCAATTTAGGCTCAGAGCGTAAATCATCAATATGAGGTGCCAAAAAGAACCTCCAACTGCCAAGCGTATTAAGTTCCTTGTGAAAGCCTTCGTTTCACAAAGCTCAATACCAGCAGATGGTGGACCCTTGTTTTACTCCCTGGATCTTGCATGTCAACTCCCAGCATCAATAAAACTGCATGGGCACAATCAACGTATTCGATCAGGAGCTCATTGAAAAATGACGCTATATAGACACAAGACACTATATATGAATTTTGAGAAACTGGATCAAAAGGCATCAAGGCTGCGTCAACAAGTGGTTCTTCAGGACAATCAGACCAGAGGACTTTGCTGGATAATGTTGGACCTTTAAAATCCGTTAAAAGCCTAAGTGCCCACGTTCAATAGATTTAAATTCAATAGACTAAGGCCTTTAACGTAAGTTCAATTGATTTAAGTCATTTGCCCTTTTGTTTGTTCTCTACCTGGTTACCTTGTTTGAAAAACCGCCTAGGACTGGAGCGGTGCCTGGAACGAAGGCCCACGTGCAACGCTTGACCTTGGAAGCCACCCGGACCGGCTCGGCGCTAACGGCACCAACGCGTCCGGTCCAGGGGCAGTCTACAGAGGTGGTCAGTGACCGTACCGAGCTGGGAAAGCCTAGTTTGGGTTCTTCAACTGTTGGAAACCCAGCAATGGGTTGATGTTCCGTTTTCTGGAGTCCATCCGAACCTGCACTACCCGTTGGGGAAGTTCATGGACCAAGCTACTTGGGGATACTTGGGGTCATTTGAAGCCATACCTTCATTGCTGGGATTGGGGGTGACGAATCCTTTAGAACAGCTGCTCGGCTATAATGGCCACGTGTGTTCCCCGCGAGCGGGACAAGTATGTTTATATGGTCAACACATACACACATGTTGTGCAGCGTCCACTTGGAAACATCCTGAAGCATCATAAGCAGGAGAGACTACTCAGAGACTACCCTAACCTAGTACATTCGGACTCTACTCGTACCATTGGCCTTTCCTGGTCTGTGGCCCGTGAGCAAACAATAGACTCGAACAGACTTGCTCAGCCTGAAATTGGAGAACAATTGCTACTTATAGACCTATAAACACTTGACAAGGCTTGTGCCACAATCATGTTGTTCCATGTCCAGGACCAGCCCACCACCTGGCCCACCATCTCCTGTGCGGAGCCGCTCCGCTCCCTTCGAGCAAAAAGGAACGACGGAAGACGCGCGCGACGACGGTGCACGCGACGACCGCGCGACGGCGTCGTCCGGCAGGAAGGATGAAGAGAAACAGCTGGACGAGTTGATGTTCGTTGGGAGCCCCGAGCTAGCTAAGAGCGGCGCAGCGAACGCGCCAGAGCTGCTCGCGCGAGCGAGCACATCAGTTTGGTTCTGGTCTTCTTGGGTGGCAAGCTGTTTCATTTGGATTCTTCATAAGGCAAAATAGATGCGATTTGCACATGCAATTGACGATGGCTTGTGTGTGTGTCCCAGACCATTTGCACTCATTTCCTTCCCCTGAATCTACTGACTGTTAGGAACGAAGGACCAAGAGCAGATTCATTGCAAACTTGTTTCAACATGTCAATTCCCATACACTCCATGTATGGAATATATGCCTACATTGACTCCCCTGGCACCATCCTAATGTAGGCATATATGGCAGTCCCATGGAACGTGTAGGAATGAGAAACTTTACAAGGCTATACCGTGCCTGGCATGTCACTGGGGCCGCTTTCACGATTTCACATTCTCACAAGGCGAATTCGGTGCTCTGATCAAATTTGATCAATGCTCAGCATATCTCAGCATAACATGGTGACACTGGTGGAGATTTTGGAGCCTTAATGTAGAATCTTGATGGTTAAAGGCCAACTGCCAAACATGCATTAGTGTCAACACCAGGATACCTTGGACCTACTAGGTGTCGGTCGTTCGCGGCAAAATGGTGGACTGGTCGGGCTGCTCCGGTGGGTCACGGAGTGTCAAAGGCGCGATCGAGCAACATGGTGCAGGGCGCCGGGCAGCCTGGGTCGTGGGAGGGAGAAGGAAGAGCCACCGTCGGTGGGTGCTTTAGAAGGTGATGTCCTTTGCATTGAAGCCAAAGCCAAGGGTGATGTATTTTGTTGAAATTCGCGTGGTGGGTGCCATTGCTTTCGGTGCCATATATTTGCTCGAAAGCACCATGGGCGCCACCGTCGTTGGTGAACAGAAGCTGTGAAGGATGACTTTTGGAAAAGAACCCAACTGGGAGTCTCCTCCATTGTGCCACACAGGAAACCTTGGTGGACTTGCTGCGAGCCAAACCCAAGAGCCAGACATGGCAGGCGCGATCTGGTGAAGAGATCTGGGGCAAATCAGCAAGAGTTGGAAAGAAATGGATTGATTCGAACGTTTGATATTCAATTATAGGTTTGGGTTGTTCATTTCTGTTTCATTTGGTCTTCATCCCTTATGTCTTGACACCGTATTGATGGAGAAATCCCAGCCCACCTCCACCGGGTGACAGGGAATCGAAGTCCGTTTCGCAAGGTTTTTGTTGAATGTGTTCAATCACAGACACTGTGTCATGGAATGCGACCAACAGCCAACAAAACATCGTTGGACAGTGTATAGAGTCGAGGTGTTAAAACCTCTCAATGTTCTATTGCATGCTTTATATGTTCGAGATTTGACCAATAGTGCGCAGCTGAATCTTGAAGCATCAGGGTGGCATCACACCTTCAGAACCTCCTTAAGTCTTCACCCTCCAATCGGTCCAGGTGGCACAGTGGTTGCTTCAATTGGAGGACTTGTCGCACATCTTGGCCTGGTCCTCCGCACAGGCGAGTCTGGCGAAACGACACGATTGGACGGTTGGACGGTGTCGACGCAGCGACAAGACTGTCGACTTCCGAATCTAGTGACCTGGTCCTCTCTCGTGTCTTTCCTATGCCTCTCTCGCGGTGCGAACCCTTTTCAGCTCGGTGCGGAAGTTTGGGCACCAGGGAGATGACTGGCTCGACCAGTTTGAAGCTTGGCAAGTGATTTGGGGATGAGCAGAAGACACAACCGAAAGCTCCCGGGCTGCAAAAGAATTCACGTGGTTTTGTTCTTGCAGCCCTCTTTTTTGCAACACACAACAGCGACCACTCGCAGATCTCAACACAGATCTCAACACATTTATCATCATGTACCCTAGGGATCCAAGTACCTTCTCAGAAGGTGTTTGGGGTGGCTGTAGAGGGTCCAAGTGCCTTCTGAGAATGTACTTGGTTCCCTAGGGGTAGTATACATTCATATATTATACATGAATTCTCTTTTCTCCCTTCCACACGGAAGCCCATGGTTTAGGGATCCAATGCCCCTGGTTTTTTCGCTCTGCGATGACTGGTCCTCGGGTCCTCGGTGGGTCGAGGTCCTCCGTGGAGAGCTTCAAGATGCGAAGCCGCCAGCCTTGCAGCTGGCCGGGTGACGAGTTGGTTTGAACCGGACCTCGGACGCCAGGCTGCTGGTACTGGGTGTTTCTTGTTGTTTGGAAATGGTTGGACGTTGGATGTGTTTTTTTGGGAACTGCACAAGCTACAGGGTATATGTATGAAAGGATATGAAGGTGACATTGACCAATTGATAGGCTTCCGGTTTGGGCAGAGGTTCCGCCAAGACCTTTTGTGGTTTGTGAGTCTAGCTGTGGTTTGTAGCACCAGTTTTTGATGACATTGGCTCAAGCAAGATTTGGCTATAGCACCCTGTGTTCTGCCACGGGCCATGGAGAAGCCAATTTCATCCAGTGTCGTCTTGAAGAGAACTCGGGAAAGGTCATGAAGGGCACGAAGATGAAGGCCATGAAGGTTGACAGTGTTGGCAGTTCGCTGACAGTGAAGGGTAAATAAAGCCAAGGCCAACGCCAGGAAACCGGCGGCCAAGGCGGAGAAAGATCCCAAAGAGGAGGCCATTTGGATGTGCCAGCAGCTTTCGGATGGAAAGTTAAATCCTGAAAGTCTTAAGCGAGGCTATGTACTTCTTAGGAATGCGGCCAACAAATGGGTGAATTTGCCCCAAATTCAGAAGCTCGTGAAAGATTTGAAGCAACCGACTGAGAATTGGTATCACTTGATGTTCGCACATGTGTGCGGCTTCATGATTGATAATCTGATAGCAGTATGCAGTATGCTTGAAGAGGATTGGGTGTACAAGATCCTTTTCTCAGATGAGAAAGACAAGCACTTCTTCTCTTGTGGCGTGGAGCACGGCCATTTCATTAGAGCTGGAGCCGATCAATTCTTGGAGTTCTCGAGAGCCTACAAAGTTAGTGATTTTGAGGCTGCTATCAAGTGTGAATCTTCTCACATGAAGTTGCTGGAAAACTTGTTGGTCAAGTTTGTACACCTGCGAGAGGAGGTAGAAAAAAGAGAGCGCTTGACAACATGTTTCATGAAGGAATGCCAGCTGTTCGTTTCTGCGTTTGTCACTCTCTCAAAACTCTTTAAAACGATGAAGGAATCTAGAACCCCCATCGATTCTAGTCCCGTGACCTGTTCTTCAGACAAGAATCATCCCTGATTTAACCACATGAAAAAACAGAACACCACATGAGGCTTCCAGGTTCCGCAGGTTCAGGGTTCCCACATGGATGACTTCCTAGAAGCTGTGTTCACCTGGGGGTGTGCACAAAAGGGATGCAGGGGGGATGAAACTGTCCACTCCCTGTACCTTCAAAACAAGATCCCTTTTGTTGCAAATCCATCATCCATAACAACTTACAACTATATAAATCCTGATTTTATGGGTATTACTTTCTCGGGTGAATTTGCTCCTGGCTCGATGTCGCTGAAACCAAACACGAGTGGCTTCGTCAGCAAGCACTTCGGAAGTTCTTTTCTCCATTCCGGTGCCTAGAATTTGCTCATCGATCGAGAAAAAAACAAAATGCCACTGCAATGCTTATATTCCTCGCCACTGTACCGATTTGTTCAGGTGGAGTTGCCACGCTTGGGCCTCACCTTCCGTGCGCCAGACGAGCGAACCAGCAAGTCGGCGGCTGAGCGCCCGCGCGGGGTTCCCGCCCTGCGCTGCGACCAGTATGGCGGGTTGAAGGCGACGGTGTGGGCGACAGTGGGCGACCGGGGAAAAATGGAGGATCCCAAAGAGTTCCCAAATGTTCCTCATATGTTCCTCGTGTTTTCACACAGAAGTCCCATGATAGGGCTTCCCTTCACCGAGCCTACCCCCCTAGGCAGGGTCTCTCTCTCTCTCTCTTTTGAGTGATCTGGAAAAGGCTTTGAGAGATCATGAGAAGTCCATGAGTAAGTAGGTGAATGAGGCCCAACTCAAGCTCACCTCATGTTGTTCTTGTTCCGCAGCATCAATCACATGCATCAATTTGTCAATTCCAGTTAAACCCGCTGTCAGCAGTGTTGAGTTGTACCAAGGCGGTGCCTCACAGAGTCTAGTAGCAGTTGGTGTTGTTTGTGTTCCATGCCACCCGTGTGGTTGGAAGTGGTGGCATCCGCCTTTGGGTGCTGAACTTCTCATCACCACCTTGGCCATCCTTGGCCTCCTTAGAGCTAGGGACTACTTGGAGCCATGTGACCCTGGCCATCTTTCGGTGCAAGGACGCTACGAACGGGGCTCCTGGCCTTACTACTAGGAACAAGAAGCTACGAACGGGGCTCCTGGCATCGCTACGAACGGAGCTTTTTCATGTTTCGATGCACAACAGCCTGCACCAGAGCTTCGCCGCTTCGCCTCCTCCTCGGTGCAACCGGGGAGGTGCTGGGTGAGCGGAGTGTCCACAACCAGAAGGGCTTGCAGAGGCTGGTCGGTCGGCGTGGAGCGTGGCGGTTGGTGCGGCCGGTGGCGTTGGGGCGGGTGCTGTCACCGGTGACACCTGGTGACACCGTGTCTTTGTTGAGAGTGTCCGGGAATCATGGTGTGAAGGCAAACCCAGTCTAGCCCGAAACGAGTTGTTTGAGAGAACAACTCTTCCCATTGATACCACACCCCTTCAGAACAACAAAGCGATAAGGATCCAAAAGGCAGCTCACCATGGCAAGGTCACACCTTGGTGAGAGGCTGAAACCTTAGTGTGCAAGCATTTTTAAGAGTGTTCCTGGCAAAATCTGACACGTTTTTTGAGTGAAAACGCCTTGCTTCGCACAAGAGCGAAACCCACCAAGAGAGACCTCTCGGAACGAGCAAGCAGGTGTGCAACAATCACACCAGAAGAAACGTGAACTGTTCTAGTATAGTTATAGAATCTAACAACGCGCCTCGGGAAACACGAAGCGTTGCAATCAAAGCCCCCGGTGTTCACGGCCAAAGACACAGCGCCACTGCAATGTTTTGTGACCCTTAAAGTGTCGTATACAATTTCCAGGGTCCAACTACCTCTGTGAGGTTCGGTGGTTGGGTGGGTTTTGGGAGTCTAGTCACCTTCTAAGAATATGGTTTCGGTGACAGCCTAGGGGAACGTTCATCCATTTTGCATCCAGGCCAATTCACCCTATATAGCCGCTGAATGCCGCTGATGTAAAGTATAAGACTATGCAAGACTCAATTGTTCCTCATAGTTGTTTAGAGGGACCTGGGCCAACGTGTCAAACTTATCAATGTTCATTTAGGATCGTCCAGTCATTCAACCCTGATCACTATGTATGGAACAAGCCCAAACCAACCCACGCAGTCCGCACGGACTACCCTTTTTCTGGTGTACCTACCAACAACAACATGGTCTTTCCATGTTTTTTTTCCCTATAGTCAGATGCACATGGGTTCTCTAAATACAAACCCTTTGTGAGAACAAAAACATTAATTTCACGGGTTCCCTCTAAATGCAACCCCTTTTCTCCAGCAAAAAAGCAACATCGTCTGGCTTTTTGAGAGGCTGATCAAGCCCTTCCCACGCTTCGTGCTTTTGGAGGAGAAAATCGTTTTCAAACTCGTCGCTCGGAGAATCGGGATGTTGCTTGGAACAGAACGCGCATCGACCCAGGCAGCGACCTTCGAACCGTTTTGGGGATTGGGAAACACCCACCGAACAGGTACGAACAGGTGTCAAAAAGGTCTAAGGTTCACCTTGTTTTTCCTGGCAAAGATGGAGTATAGAGTTGATGTTTCAGACAGTGTCAGTGTGGACGACGTCTATACGTTTGAGTCTACACTTGGAAAGAAAACGCCATATAGGTCAGACATGCTTTTCTGTCCAAATCTGTGACCAAATCCTTCGCCAACGTTGAAGGAGTCACAGTTGAGCAGCGTTCAATATCTTAAGCCTCCGGTCCTAAAACCCGCCCGAGAGGCTGAACATTTTTGGAAGGTTCTGTGTGAGAAATCTAGCCCGTGAATTCTTCACACTATAGCTTCGGTTTGCAACAGTTGACCTCTGTGATGTGTGGCAGCCGTGGCTTGAGGTTCATCCCAGACACTTGATGCGATAGTTGCATGGCATTTTTGACCTGGTCACGGTTTTTTCGGAGTTATTCTGTGATTTCGGACTGCAAACAGTCCCATTTCCGCCCAGTTCCAGCTGATCATGGCCCATCGCATGGCGTCGGCCTGTCGGACCCAGAAGAAACCGAGAAACCGAGCCGAGCCAAAGCGGCACATGCCTGGAACCGAGCCGGAACCACAGATTGACACAAACCACCTTCAGTACGTGACCTCGAATTGGAGTCTGTAAGTGACCCTCTTCAGGGACGACTAAGTCACCTCTTCCACTGGGATCTCAAGTTCGGTCACGAACTGAAGCTCCTGGAATATCCCCACGACCTGTCTGGGACTGCCATAGGACTGCCGAGAAACGGCCAGGGGTGGTTTTGGGGGTCAATGGGGCGGCATATATGGCAGTCCCATGGGTCGTGTCTGGGTATAGCAATCATGGCATTTTGTGACCGAAAAAATATGTTTCCTCTGCGTTTGCGTTTGGTTTTTGGAGGGTTCGCTGCGAACATGGTAGGACGAGGTGGGAGATCTCTTCCTCTTGGCTTCCTTGGCGGAGCGCCCACGGAGGTCGACACAGGCAGGGTATGGCAGGGGAGGCGGACGGAAGAAGGAGGGGAGGCGGAGGGGAGGGTGTTTTGGGATGCACAAATGGGAAGAATGGGAAGTCTGTTTGGGGAGAAGTCTCTTCATTTTTTGTTCTTTGAAGTGGACAGCCCACGGCTTTTCCATGCTTTGCCCTCCGGGCCCCTATTTGGGCCCCTATCTAGAGGACGTGGAATATTGGCACTTTGGGATGAGTTTGGTGATCCTTTTCGTTGAGTTTGTTTTTTTTGGGGAACATACTTATATATAACATACTACTAACATTCTGGCTTAGCCAGTGGGTCAAGGGATCCATACAGCACATGTACGACTATATAGGGGATTAGTGTTTGCTGTCAAAGAATTTAAGGGAGTTCTTATGTGGCAAGGTTTAGGGTTTAGGGGGTCTCAAGACACGACCTGGCAGAGAAACCGTGGCTGAAGCGAAGACACTATATAAGTTGATCTATAAGTCTAAGTGTACAAGCTCATTTGGGGTGGGGATTTCACCATGTTAAGGATATACCAGATGGGACGCGGCGCTCCGGGGCCAGGGCCTCGAGTGGATCCGGGGCGATTCCTCCTGGCTGTCGAAGCTTCGTTTGGAACAGAGGCCGCCGCAGGGACTGAGGGGTGCTGCTGGAGTTTGCTTTATTCTTCACTATGGATGGATGGAAATCTGGAGCAAAACTTCAGCTGGAACCTATGGAGTCCCTTGATGGACAACATTCTGCATCACTTTGCAGCCAAGGAACGTTGCTTTTTTGTGAGTGGGGATGCAACATGATGCCACCATTCACCACTTGCCCACTTCTATGAACACAGATTCCTCAAATTGGTCTCGGTCCCCAAGCAAGCTGAGCCGAATCTCAAGTCGTTATTCCTTTTTGATTCCCTTTTGCATCACTTTTCACGGCCCCATACTTCTGCCTATTTGCATGCCTCCCGATCAAGTCATGAATGTCCACGACTGGTGCGACGAAAGTAGGGAAGTTTCGCCCCCCCTACTTAAAGATTCCATTGGATCCCAGCCACCCTCATTCCCTACTAAGCACAAGGCCCCGAAAGCCAAAGAAAACCAAACCCGGCGGCCATAAAGCCCTCCCATTGGCCCAGGCCTTAAAGCCCCATCCTCCGTTGCTCGCTTGGTTGGAGGCACCAGCTCTATCGGATCTTCGTCAATGAGATCCTGGTGGCACCCAATGTTCTGGCGGAGTCACTCGTTTTTTTTTCAGATGGTGAGTTGGATGAGTGGACAACCTGTTTGTGAACTGGACGAGCAAGGTGGTGCGCTTGAGATGGTGCGACTACCTTTTGCGCGCAAACGCGCGTTCCATCGGTGTTCGATGGGGACCGAGACTCGTCGAGATGTCCGTCCACTTGGACTGATTTGGACACCGGTTCTTCCTTTCGCCCGTGAAGATGAAAAGCCGTTTTTTCCACTCCCGGAAGTGGAAACTCACCTGTGGGTACTAGTATTGTGTAGAGGCAAATGGCCATTGGGCAGGGCCATTGTCCGCTTCCATGATTGTTCCAAAAAAAGTGTATCCCATACACTCCATGGGACTGCCATGTATGATATATTATGCCAATCAGTTGGGGTGGTTTGAGGGATCAATGTAGGCAAATATTCCATACATGGAGTGTATGACTATTATTTGTCAGACTTTGTCAGTCTATGAGTCTACGATGTCATCCATCCGCTGCGAGAGCGCCCAAGGTTGCATTTGATGCTCCTTCGCGTTGCCCAGGGCATGTTTGGCCAGCCTCCTAGTGCTTGATTGCGCGCAATCCATTTGCTTGGGGAGGTTCGACCACCTGCAAGCTCTTCTGGCTTCTTCAGAGGCTTCTTCATCTTGTTCAAGTGATGCATCCAGCAGTGATGCAACATCACCCATGTTGCCTCATCGGTCGGCACCTGGACGGTCGTGACCCGTGATCATCAAGGACCCCCAAAGGAGCCACCAGGCTGAGCAGCACCCGGAGTTTCCTCAACCCAAAGAACACTGCGACATGTGTTCTTCAGGCATTCAGAGACTCAAGGAATCTCCAGGATATGAAATGTTTCAGGGCCTGACACATGTTGACTCCTTTTTGAGGTTGTTTGCTGTTGACTGCTTAGAAGACCATGTTCCTCTACAAACAGGTGGTTGTCCACTTCCATGTTAATTCACAGGTTGAGAGTCCCAGCATCTCCACCCCATAATGCCATAGATTGAGGGGTGGTCTTCTTGGATCTTCATCAGCCCAACTTAGGTGACGCTTGCTCTTCTGTTGCAGCCTGCCATGAGCCTGGATTCAGTCACAGCTTTTGTGTGCTCGTATTGCCAAGTGCTGTATGGCCATGACATGATGCCTTTTCAAAGGAGGGTACCATCTACCCACGAGGACGGGGCATAGGCAAAGGAACTCTACCCACCAGTAAGGGGCATCGGCAAAGGAACAAACCTAGCGCGACTTGCGATCCTAGTCTGTCACCCCAATTGGCAGATATTGGCAGGTCTCGGGCCAAACGCTTGCAGGACAAACCATGAACACCGGAAACGCCTATCGCAGGACGCCCGACGCTTGGGGTGGTCAATGCCCCAAGGAAACTCTAAGGGTCCAATGAAGTTGGAACCTCCCTAGTCTGTCACCCTGGTAGACCAGCAGTTCCATTGGAGGGTGCCGAGTTCAAACAAAGAACGTCGGGGTGCACGTCACATCTACGGCCCCTGGATGGGACTGAAAACCAATTCCTGCTGGAGCTGCTGGATGGTTCTTCTCTTTGTTCTGCAGCGGAAAAACGGCGCTCACCAGCTCTTTGCTTCTCTTCCCGAGGCACTGCCTCCACGCTGCCGCAGCCGCCCGAGGAGCCCCACGGCCGAGTCGCAGTGGGGAAGGTTTCGGCCACGAGGCGCCAAGCGTTTTCGGGTTCGGCCCCGATGTCC